GCCTATGGCTGAATCATTTGCCAATGGTGTCTCAAATCAAGACTGGATGAAGAAAGGGACTCACGCATTGTTGGTGGGGAGCAACTTGTCTAAATTCCCACCCACCCCACCACCTATTCCAGAGAGAAAGAAAAAGCTGGGTCCGGGAGTAGGGGTCCAACAGAGACATGAGAGGGTGTTGGGGGTGCCCTGGCTGCCTGACAACTTTTAGTATCAAGAGAAGCACTGTGAGCAGCTTATTGAAATATCCCCAGACACCTCCCTCAGAGACCCTGAATCCCGCTAGGAAGTAGCACCCAAAAGCACACCTTAAGCTGCTCACAAGTGATCTCCACAGGCCTTAGTTTGATAAAAGTAGATGGTGACCCTGACATTAGGACTGATAGACCACTGTGTACAATTCCGGCTATCAGAAACCACTCTGGCAGGACCGAAGATTAGAGTTGAGTTCCTCGATTGTCCCCTGGGTGGCGCTGTGTAGATGCGTCTGCTCAACAGAAGGCGTCCCTCCCCCACGGCCACCAAGCTCTTGTAACCTCATTTCTCACAGTGGCCCCAGGTGGGGATTCGGCTGAAAGCCAGGGTTGCCAACACCAGGGATTTATATGAGGCAATGTCTGGCGAGTACAAGGTCTCAGTCTAAGTCTCTGCTCACTCTAACTAGGGAACAAAATGTTTCAAAGACAAGACACTGGGTCTCTGTGGTGCTTTTACACCTCACGCAAAACAGTATCAGAGTGGCTGGGTGTTCAGCGACTGCATTATTAGTTTTCAGGCTGTCATTTGTAACTACAGAAGTAACGCGTGTTTTTGTGGATGATTTCAAAAAAAGCATATAAACAAAAATAATTTTTAAAAGTCAACTGAAATCACACCACCCACGGCTAACCACTGTTAACATTTACTGTGTTTCCTTAAATGGAGACTGTTTGGTAACCTGCTTTTTCTACCTTCACAATATAACAAGAACATTTTCCAGGGTAGGAACCACATTAAAATCATTTTTTAAAGTCGCATAGTATTATAGTATTTCATTTGCAGATGGACCATGGTTTATTTAACCAATTCCATATTGTGAGACATTAAAAAAAATCTCTTCTGTCATTCTTCTCTCCCTTTCTCCCTCTTCAAGTGTCTCTTGCTTTTCTGGTCAATTCTTCTGTAAGCTGCTCTTTGTGTACTGGTCCAGTATGTTCTTACAATACACTTTCCTACAAGTGGACACAGGGTCATCCAAGCATTCTCACAGCACTGAGGAGTTTTCCCATTGTATTCACACCACTAGGGAACAGAAGAGACCACAGGGGTCTTGTTGAAGAAACCCTGTGAAGTCATCTGAGAATCCCTCCTTCCCTTCTTTTACTAGGGCGTAATTCTATGCTGGAACAATTTACCAATCCTGTACCCTAAAGAAAATACACAATCATAGTGTGGAAAATCTTCCCAGAAGGGCCTCAATTCTGCCTTATTCAACAGAGCAGTCTGCAAAGCCTGCGTGTTTCTTCTGCTTCTGTCTTGTGGGATTAACAGATTGGAAATACACTGACCTCATCCAGGAATTACTTCCATAGGAGACATGAGAGGGTGGTGGCAGCTTCAAGGCAGTGACTACTTAAGTACAGTGGTCTCTGTTTTGGACAGTGAAGGTGATAGTCCTTTCTCCACCATTCTCAATCCCTAGGTCCTGGACAGTGGGAGGTGTGATTATGAGATTCTCAGTAACTCAGAGGCAAAATTGTTGGAATCTGCTCCATCCCAGCAACAGAAAGAGGAAGAGAGGCTGACCCTGGCCAAAAGCAGAAGTTCTGCAAGGCAATGTGGTCAAGGAGGGGGTAACATAAGACACCAGGTAAGGCCAGAAGGCCATGGGAATGACCCAGCCAGAGACAGAAAACAAAGTGAGTCAGGAAAGTTGCTGATGAGTCAAGTCAGACTCAGAGCCCACTAGTTCAAAAACAAGGGCAGACACTGGAGGCTTGAGAGGTACAGGGGGCTTTTGGCTTAGAGTTTATTTTTATCAGCTTGCAAGAACACTATGTTTAAAATACTCACACAGAGCTCCATACAAACCCATGAGGTCTCTCCCTGAGAGACAAGAGAAAAACAGACTGGCCGCACAGGCAGAACCTCTAGGAGAGCAAGTTCTCCAGGGTTAGAAATGACCAAGTGCAGAAACTGGCTTTGGCAACTGGAATGCCAGGCAGACCTGAAAGTGTTTCAGAGTTAGGCAAAATCTGTATCAGGGAAGATAAGTTCCTGGTCCAGGAGGGAATCTAGTTTTAGACTGAGTCTTGCTCCTATATCTGTACATTCAGTATGCTGGAAGCAAGAAAAGGGTCCTATAATCAAAGTTTTACTCTTACAGCAAGAGCTGCTGTCTGGCAGATATTTTAGCAAAATCTGCTGAAGAGAATGAAACAGGGCTGTGTGGGGACAGGAAGGCACACCTTGGTGTACCCCTGACTTGTCTTCCATATGAATATATATTTTTTCACAATTTAAGTGAGTTGTTTTCATAGAATTTTGTAGCTGCAATGTGGAGGAAAATAATGCACAATGAAAAGTTACTTACCCGCTATAATTTCAATTCTGAAGAAATATTTATACATAACAGAAAAGGGCATGGGAGGAAATATACGAATATTTGAACACTGTGGAAAAGAGCAATATGTGGCTAGGAAGCAGAGTGGGAAAATGAGGGAGGGAATTGAGGAAGAACCAGGGACAAGACAGCCCTCATAAGCCCAGTGAATCAAGGAACAAGGACAAGACAGCCCACCTAAGGTCCTACCTCCTCGAGTTTCCAATAATGGTACCACTAGCCGGGAACCAAGATTTTAACACAGAACCAGTAGGGGGCATTGCATAGTCAAAACTATACTATGTCTTTAGCTTACTATTAATAGAACTGCACTGCTATTCTTTCAGCTTTTTTTTTTTAATGTCTTATTGTCACTCTGATTTGCTATATATTTTGGTCTATTCAATTGTAGCATTTTAAACCAAACTAGATGTGATAGTTTGAGTGTAATTATCACCATAAGCTCATAGGAAGGAACCTCATTGTTGGAGGAAGAGTGGAGGTGGACTTGGAAGTCACCCTTGCTCAAGCTACACCAAGTGAAACAGTTCATTTCCTGTTGCCTCCACATCAAGGTGTAGGATTCTCAGCCCTTCTCCAGCACACAGTCTGCCAGCACACTGCTATGCCCCACTATTTAGTCCATGATAATGAACTAAACCTCTGAACTGTAAGCCACCCAACTAATGTTTTCCTTTATAAGAGGTGCCATGGTCATAATGTCTCTTCCCAGCAATAGAAACCCTATCTAAGAGAGAAGTTAGTACTGGGATTGAGGTATTGTTGTGATAGGGCAGACCATGTTTTGGTTTGAAGGAATACGGATCCTGTCACTGTGGATTAGAAAAGCAGTTGAATGCTTTCAGAGGGGCTTAATGCGCCATCCTAGTAGGCTCATGGAAGACAGTAATGCTGAAGGTGATTTGAGCTGTCTGGGGCTGGCTCCAAAGGTTCAGAGGAAAAGAATTTTAGTATGTTGCCTAGAGATTGTTCCTGTGATATTTTGGTGAAGAATGTGGCTGGTTTTTGCTCTTTTCTGAAAAGTCTGCCTGAGGCTAAAGTGAAGGGTTTGCAATTAATTCCATTGGCTGAGGAAATATCAAAGCAGCCTATAATAGACTCTGTCATGTAGTTATTAATGTTAACTCTAATGGAGATTGATAATGAAAAAGTGCAAGCTGAGAAAGTAAAAACACAAAATGTACAAATTGAGGAGAAAAGGAACAGCAGGAAGTAGAATGCAGCTAAATGCTATGTTCAAGGAGATAAACAGATAAAGAAATGGAATAAACAGAGTGGTGACCTCAGGGCACCCCACCCAGCTAAGTTTTAAAGAAAAGCTTAAAGCTGAGTATGGTGGTGCATGCCTTTAATCTCAGCACTCCATAGGCAGAGGCTGACAGATCTCTTTGAATTTGAGGAAAGCAAGTTCCAGAATAGCCAAACTGAGGCAGTCAGTGAAGGTTACCATGGAAAATAGAAAGCTGGTGAAGACGTGATTGAAAGCTATCTGAGTTCAAGGCCAATCTGGTCTACAAATCCAGTGTCAGGACAGCTAAGTTTAGGCAGTGATGGAAAACAGAAAGCTGGCTGTGTGGTTTGAAAGACAATGCCCCCCAAAGGGAGTGGCACTGTTAGGAGGTGAGGCCTTGTTGGAGGAAGTGTGACACTGTGGGAGCAGGCTTTGAGGTCTCTTTTTCTCAAGCTTCCCTCGGTGTAATAGTCCACTTCCTGTTGCCTGTTGCAAGATGTAGCACTCTCATCTCCAGCACTGCGTCCATCTGCATGCTGCCAAGTCCCCCTTCATAATCATGACAGACTGAACCTCTGAAACTGTAAGTGAGCCACCCTCAACTAAATGCTTTCTTTCTAAGAGTTACTGTGGCCATGGTGTCTCTTCATAGCAATAGTAAACCTTAACTAAGACCATCTTGAAGATGTAATTTAACAAGGGGGCCATGTTCCAGCCCCAGCAAGCAGTAGAACTTGGCAGCTTTGGCCACATTGTTCTGGCTTTAAAGAAAACTCCTCCCCTCCCCTGCTGAGAGCTTCATATTTCTTCCCCCAAATCCACTGTGAAGCAACTCCCCTTGGTGCTGAAGCTTTTCTTTCATCATCTCTACCCCCCACCAGCTAAATAATTCACAGGGTCCACGGCAAAAAGAAGACACAGCTTGGTAAGAAAATTAGTAAAAAATTTTAAGTAGCAATAACTAAGCATTAAACTAGGCATCTAACCCTTCCAAAGATGGGGTCCCCTGACATCGCACCCTACTGTAATTACAGATCCAACTGTAATTTTCACAAGGTCATCTTTTAATTCTTTAGACTATAACAGTGTGTTTCCAATTCTTTTGAAGCTACCATATTTATTCCTCCAGTTTTTCTTACACTCTCGCACCTGTTTGTATTCACTCAGCGATCATTGAAAGAATGGTTCCCATGTATGGTACCCAATAAAGCATTGGACACACAGAAAGAAGTCAAGGATGAATGTATCCTTTAGGAGTCTGATATTATTCTCCAGAGAACTTGGACTCCAAACTTTTAGGTAAAGTCTCCAAGGAAACTCTTGGGCTCTCTGATTTCTGGTCACAGTGTTCTGTAAAACATAAAAGCATTTATGATACAAAGTAAATTATATCAACTGGGATACCACTGTTCATCAGCCAAAGTAGTAAAATTCAAAATCAAAATTATGAACATAAGACACACAGAAGTTAACACTTTCATTTGTCTTTTGAGATACAGTATTTATTAAAATGTCTAAAGGAATTTTTAGTTGAACTGCCTTCCTTTAATTTCTCACTTAGGCACATTAACATAAATGCATAAACACCCAAGCATCACAGTGTAGGAAGAGTGGAGAAAGAAATGTTTTTTGTGTGACATTTTTATAATAAAGGTCTAAAGACACCACACAATGAGATTAATTAAATAAATTTTAGATTGTACAGATGGAATAACTCTGTGCAACTAAAGGAAGAGTGAAGTAGGTTTCTTTTAATTTTAGTATGACCAAAGTATCATTGAGAATGATTTCAATAACCATAGAATAGTTTGTAGACTCTAATACCAATAAGGTGGATTTATTTTAAGATTTGTATATTTTACATGTGTGGGTAGTTTTGCTTGCACATGCATCTATGTACCACATCTGTACAGTGTCTAAGGAAGCTAGAATAGAATGCCCAAACCTTTGTAACTGGAATTGCAGACAGTAGTTAGCTGTCATGTAGGTTCTGGGAATCGAACCCTGTTCCTTTTGCAAGGCTAACAAGTGTTCTTACCCACTGAGAGGTCTCTCTAGCCCCTGGCAATAGATGTTTAGGAATAATAACCAAATATAACTGACTTGTAAACACATCTGTTGCTATTCCTGGGTCCAGTATAACCATCAAAAATTTGTGGAAGAGCATGAAGCAGGGTCATCTGAAATCTTCATAATCAAGAGAACTGGACCTCACCTCTCTCCCTTCAACTAGGAACAAGTGTTCATTCAACTTGCAACAGTTTTATTCTAGGTACACAAGGGCAGAGGCAGTCTTTTTATTCCTAAAAGGAAAATTTGGCCCAACAACTGTCACCATGAAGAAGATTCTTCCACTAAAACCTCTTTTCTTGGACCTTGTGGAAACCACTTAAAATGGATTGTTTTTTTGTTTGTTTGTTTTAGTTTTGTTTGTTTGCTTGCTTGCTTTTAAGTTCTCAAAAGCCTTTATGAAAAAAAAATAGGAACCACCTATCTGACATAATGATTCCCTCTTTCTTCTTCCCACCTCCTGACATCTCCAAAGTCCATAAACACTGAGATCTTGGCTGTGGTTCAATAATACATGACTCTTGCAGTTCATGGGTTGCCTCTCAGAGGGCAGCTCTCAATCATGCGGGCTTCCAGTGTGCCCTCATCATCATACTCAAGATCCCAGAATGATGTAACAGCTTCGTCCGTGATAACTTTGGGCTTTTGTCAGAAAAACAAACAAACAGAACAAAGTTAGGCATAGCCCATACAGCTCTATTACCTCCACTCAAGAGAGGTAGATATCACTGCTGTTCAGATTTCATTGGCCAGAGCAAATGCCATGACTACGCTGGAGTGGAAGAGGAGGACTGGTGAGTTGTTAAAACAACAATACAGAGAATGAAATGAAGAGTCATGGTTATCCGCACCAAGTGCACAATTAAGGTCTAACTTGTGGTGGGCCTAGGAGAATGCACAAAACAGCCAGCAAAGGGCCTAGGCTCATTCTCCTTATCGGTCCTCTGTGCTGAATGCCCTTATGGAAACTTCTTCTGGGATATTGGAAAAGAGTGAACACTATTCTAAATAAGCAATGCAATTAAAATCAAGAGCCCAAAAAAAAAACAAAACAAAACAAAACTGTGTTTGCAATCTCGTTTTACTCTCCGGACTAATGCTGTCCAAAAGTTCAGTAGCCATATTGGAACACAGAACAAAGAAATGGGTGCATTAATCTTAATAGGTTTTGTTTAGCTTGATGCATCCAAGATGGTATTTTACCAAGTGATCAATATGAAATTGTTGTTGAAATGTATTAAAATTCTTGCCAAGTCCTAGAAATCTGACTTCCATCTTATCCTTACAACAACCTAAATTCAGATGCTAAATTTTCCTCAGAAATAATTGATCTGTATTTAGATTTACAGCTTAAAAAGTAGGTTAACACATCCAAACTGCACTAACTGCACACACGATTTTCCAGGAAATGAATCAACTATCCATTTTTAAATTTGAATTAACGTAGATAAAATACAGTTGAAGATTCATTTTTCATTTACTCTCATCACATTCCCAGGTCTCAATCGCCACGGTCATGAGCGCCTGCCATGTGGCTCTACCAGATTGCACAGTGCAGGCTTAGACCTTGGGGATTTCAGTCTCCACCCTGAAAATCATCTTTTCAATGTAGATCACAAAATGATCGAGTCAGTTGATCTCTTTGTTATTCAGAGGTTTTGTTGTTGCTGCTGCTGTTTTGTTTTGTTTTTATAGGTGCAAAGCCAGAGCTACAGAGTGTGCAACAATCTCCTTTTCACACTATGGACCGGTTTGTTTCTGAGTTGGTTTCTATAACAATGTGCCTTAGAGATCTCTGTGTCTGTCCCAAAAACTAGGTAAGATCAATTATGCAATCCTTTTTGGGGAAAAAGTTGAAAAATTAACCTGAAGGTGTCTTATTCAAAGCCCTTTTCCTATTGCTGTTATATACCTAAACGTTTAGTCCTAAATTTTGCACGAAAGGAAGCCATAACTGAATCTTAAGGGAAGGTTGCGGGCATACCACAGCCCAGGCATACCAACTGCTTCTCTTTATCATTTTTCATCATTTTTCACTTGCGCTGGGAGGGTTCTGTCCTTATCACAAGACTATGTTTTCCACGTCATCTGCCCATACAAAAGAATTAAATAAAATTTCTAATTTTCTATATGACCCTAAGAAGCCAAGAAAGCAAGTTCAGAGTTTCACATCTGTTGCCTTGGTTTTAGATAACGATATAACAGGCTGTATAAGGAGCCTGGTATGTAAATTTGAGACATTTTTATATGAATAACCTCACTTGAACATTCAGCATTCATATTGGTATGAATGAAAGGAAAGGGAGTTTAAAATCAGACAGCCAGTAAGTAGAAACATCTGGGTTATAAACACAGCCTTCTACATCTTTGCTCAGTGCTCTAATACACCACCTGTCTCTGCCACGCCTAGCGTCTCCTGGGGTAGCATCAACTCAGGTACTTTGTTGTGCGCTCGTGATACTCTAAAGATGTTATTCACTGTCAGAAACTAGACTCCTGGCCTGTGCTGTCAACATCCCAGTACCAAATTCTAAATTCAGAATCAAGAACAAATAAAAGGGCCGCCATTATTCCTATAACCCATCAGTTGGTATGGCCAGTGCCGCTGCTTCCAAAGGCTTGTTACCTGAGGACTCCATGGGACAAAACAATGGTGACCATTTCCTAATTCGATTTCCAAACAGAAAGGCATTCTTCTCTGCCAAAGGATCCTGTGCCAACAAGAAAAAGATGGAAATGGAACAACGGATACAGAAGGGCAATCAGGGATGAATAGCCCTCCATTCCTCTAACACAGGAGTAGAGGGAGATGAGCTTCAACAGAGGTCTTGAAGCAAGCCCACGAGTGAGCATTTCTGACTGACTATGCTCCAGCTTGCCAGCAAATATGGGACACAGCAAGGAACATGAAAGAAAGCAGTGTAAGTGATGTCACATCACACTACACCACATGACGGAACAGGGATTCAATACACTACGGTCAATAGGACAAGAGCTGTAGTTTCTCCAATACTCAACTGTGTTAATGATAACTGTTTCTAAACAAAAAGGGGTTAGCGTGGGAATTCAGACAATCACAATAAATAAACAGTGCTGATCTTAACAGCAGTGTCAGTTGAGAAAATGATAAGAACATTTTGTTCTTTTCTGGATTTGCTAAGATGAGGCAGACCTGGGGACAATCTTTAGGAACTCATCATGGCTCATGGCTACTCCTGTTTTGACCTTGAGACCTGGTCTTGCTTTACTCCTCCATAGCTATCTGAGTTTTCTATGGAGAGTTCCTTCCTGGCCACTAGAGTAGGAAGACGTGCAGGAATTCAGAAGCATAGGGAATTCAAGAAGAAAGGAGCATAGCTTTGTTCTAGGTCATAGACAGTTTCTGGCAACTGGGTTACACTTCCAAAACCAGAGATTTTCACCCAGACAACCCAGGGTTCCTGGATTTTGACAAAGAAATGGATTTCAGAGCCAGCTAAACCTGAATAAAAAAAATGGGCTTGTTGAAAAAAGAAAGAAAGAAAGAAAGGAGGTCTGAGAGAGTAAGTCACACCTTACTGAATGACTGTGAGTTGCTCTAAGGAAAAGTGGTGAGCAGCTTTCTTAACAATGGAATTTTAGTAGATCGCATACTCCGTTGCTACATTCCGAGAGTTTTCTAAGAAATGGATCCCCACTACTAACATTGTCCAAAGTGTACTTTATTGCAAAGGTAAAGAGTTAAAGAATTTTTCTCAGTAAACAAAGCTGGATAGTGATAGGGGGGCATCATCCAGGTCTAGGAGGTAGGAGCTCTAGGAATATAAGGCTACACATAATTTCAGCCCTAAGTAAGCATGGCCTACTTACTGTCGTCGCCTTCCTTGATGGGCTGTCTTTAGAAAGGCATTGTCTGTCCCTAATTGGGTACACTTTATTTATTGTCTTGAATAAGACATCTTTTGAGAAGTACATGTTGTCACGGTAGGCCATGAGGTCCTTATCTACAGATTCTGAAGTTTCCTTCCTTTCCCATCAGTGAAAGCAGATCAGGTCTCAAGAGCAAAGTCTTTTCTCTCCCAGCCCTTCCTCCCCATGTCATCATGCTTTTGTTTTCTATCCTGCCTCAAGACATCTTCATGATCCAGATATAATATACAAGGCAAATCCAATGCCCAGTTAAGATGTCTCCTTCCTGATCTGTCCTCTGAGTGAATTATGTTCCAGGTGTAGGATTTCTGGAAAAATTCCACAGACAAGAGAGTAGAATGCAGGCAGCCCAGGCCCACATTATGCAGGTATAACATCCCCAAGACATCATCCACAGTTATCTAGTTCACACTTCCCTTCTTAACAACCACCCAGGAATCCAGGTGTGATAGCATATGCCTTTAGCTCCAGGATTTGGGAGATAGAGACAATAGATTTCTGTGAATTCAAGGCCAGCCTAGTCTACACAATGAATTCCAGGCCAGCAGAACTACCTAGTGAGACTCTGTCTCCAGAAATAGGGTGGGGGACTGGAGAGATGGCTTAGCCATTAAGAACACTGACCTTTTCAGAGGTCTCAGGTTGAGTGCCCAGCACCCACATGCCAGCTCACAGCTATCTGTAACTCCAGGTCCAGGAGATCCAATGCCTTTCCTAATCGTCATGGGATCCTGCATGTATGTGTCATACACATACACACTCTGGCACTTAGGTATACACATAAATACTTAACATTAAATTAAAAAGCAAAGTGTCTTTCATATTCTGGGCAATGGTCCTGTGTCTACCAGAGCAGCCCTTGGTGGTGATAATTTTATATGTTGTGCTAATAAGCAGTGTTTTGTTTGAATAAAGGATTATATAGCATAAAGCAAACCCGAGAAGGGTGAGAGCCACTTCACCATTCACAGCCTCGGCAGGAGACAGTATGAAGCATGTCTCTTATTTTCTGTATCCTGATGCTAGGCAACCGCGTAATGTATCAATAGCAAGAGCATAGTAAGATAAAGTAAAGGACTCGGCAGAGCACACTTTCCCTTTCTGTTCTGTGTGAACACCACACCAACCACACCATAGCATAGAGACACACAGACCCCCACCCCACCCCTCATCACCACAGAGCCAGAGAACAGCCAAGTACAGGCAGTTCTCACACCAAAGGACCTGCTGACATTATTTCAACAAGCCTACCCTACACCTCCATGTCTTAGATCTGCTTCTCTTCCCAGCTAAAACCACAGCGAAAGCACTGGCTACCGTTTCCTCTGCCCTTTGCTGATCCTCTCTGCATCTAACCAGCCCTGGCGATTCCCTTGTGGCCCCACAGTAAGTGCCTGTGTCTCCTGTTTCTGGAGAACCGTGAGTATGGATGTCTTAACTTCACTTTAGTCTGGGCTCCCGAGTCCCCTTGAACAAGAATGCAGCTCTGGACCAGGTGAGCGATGTCTTGTGTTTAGTAAGCAGGAATAACAATTTGTTTAGGGGATGAGAACAGCTTGCCAGCAACCTTAAGCAGCTATACAGTTGAAGTCTTGCCGGGCAACTTCCCACAGCAGGGGACACAGACAGTCCAGAGAAAGGTTGTTTCCAGAATCAGAGCAGACCCTATCCTACCCACAGAGCACCTGCAAACTGGTCTGAATGGGTCAGGCAGAAAGAGGTAGCTAGATAGCCTGGAACTGGTTTCCTTCATCCTGTCTCTTAGCCACGGTTGGCAGGCTGGTGTTCTCTTTTGGAGATTATAGCTGTGTTCTGGGGCAGCAAGAACAAATGAAGGTGCAAGGAACGCTTCCACTGAACTCAGTATGATGGCGTTTCTCTGAGGCAAGGGAAGTGAAGCATAGCCCTCGAACAGGGGAAAAAAGAAGGCTACAGTGCTGCACTGTGGTTCCTCCTCTCCAAAGGGATTTTCCATCAGAGTTAGAGGCTACATGTGGGTGGGATCAGCATTGCTGGCAGTACATCGTTTGGAGCGCATTATCCTTGGGTGCACACCATATTTACCAATGAACTAAGCTAAAAGTCTCAGCTAATTAAAACCTGAAACTGGAAACCTATGACTGACTTCTCAGCCCTGAAAAACTGTAAATTCCCCAGTGTTGCCAACGTCTGATACAAATCCACTCCGAGTCTCGAAAAAGCATTGAGACAACACTGATGAAGGCTCTGGAGGTTGGTTGAGCTGTCTGTCTCATGGTGCCTATGATAGAGGTGACAATGGCAAGGAACAGAAGAAGGGAAACAGATTTCTAACTGATGCTCAATTGATTTCCTCTTGCCGGAGCACAGCTGCATCTCTGTTTCATGTTCAGACTGTATCTTGTTTTACTGTTATCTTCTTGCTCTGCTCAGTGAGGCCATGGCGCAAAGGACATATGAAGGGGGAACATAACCCAAGTTGAGGTTCATATGGCTTTCTTCTCCCCAGCAATAGGCAGTACCTCCCATCTCTCTGTGATTTTGGGGGTTACAAAGTGTCTTTTAAGTGTCTCAGCCTTGCGATTCCTGACATTTTTGATTGGCTAGTCTTCACCACGGCAAGATTTTCTCATTACAGATGCTAATTATGACCTTGACCTTGACACACTAGATATCTGCTGAGGATCCTCCCACCCCCTTGCTGAGAGCCTTACTCAGGCCTACACAGAAGCCAGGCTGAGAAGCACTGAGCTAAAGGATAGAGGATGGCCAGGCAGGACCTTCATTTACTGGAAGGTGTCAGGTTTGGGCTGCTTTGACAATGAACTCCAAGAAGCATATTTCAGGTCTGGGAATAAACACCAGGGTTACAAGGGCCATGGGGTCAGCTCTGGCCCATATGTTTCTCCTGCCTGAGCTCAGGCAGAGCATGCTGTGTTGGCCACTTAAGTGGAGACAAAGGCCTCTCATGAAAGGTTTCTTGTTGGCCTTGTTCCTTCAGCTAACAACTCTTGGGAAGCATTTCAGGGGCCAGTCTGGCTATGCAGCCGTCAGGGCTGCCTCAGACAGCAGCTTACCTATCCACTTTCCCACTCCAATAGAAACCCTTCTCATTGCCAACGTCTGTGCTCTCCACCTGTGCCTGGGGCAGGATAGATCCTGACCCTCATTTGCTTCCTTCTCTTGTTTGTTCTTGACTCAGGAGCTGTTCCTCCATGAACCTTTCCAAGGACCACAAGTATATGTGTACGTGTGGGTGCGTGTATACACACACACACACACACAGACAGAGACACACACACACAGAGACAGAGAGACAGAGAGAGAGGGACGGAGGGAGGGAGGGAGGGAGGGAGGGAGGGAGGGAGGGACGGAGGGACGGAGGGACGGAGGGACGGAGGGACGGAGGAGAAATGAAGCCCCACCTGTAAGTCCCTATGAGTTCCCATGGTCTTCAAGGACTGCCTCTTTCATAGCATTACGTGACACCTTCCTGAGACTTTGTTTTGGTTTTATGTATCCGTGTTGTCCTTGAACAAAGAACCGGTTCTGTCCTCTTCCTCCCCCACTCCCCACATAGGACAGGGCCTGCCATAGTAAATGTGAGATGTTACCAGGAGGTAAAGCAGATCTGATTAAAAAAAAAAAAAAAAGACTTCTTAGAGATTCCCAACACACTGAGACAGTCTACAATCTACAGTCAGTCAGAAAGGTTAGCGGTCAAAGTAACTCATCTATTTCTGTGCAACACAAATGGAAGACTCCAAGTAAAAAAGAACCACATTGGCAATTGCCCTGTGTAGAAAGGGCTCCGTCCAAAATGCCAGCCTGAAGCCCTTTATATTCTGAGCATGTGTTGAGAGCTCTCATCTCCAGCCTGGCACCGACGCGGTTAAAGCCTCACCATTTGCTGTGTGAGGCTGATTCTGCTGACTTTATTTCAAGCAATCAGAACTATCTAATTTGCATTCACATTCACATCAGTGGCCCATATGTTAGCCCTGTTTAAAAGCTATAGGCTTGCATTCATTATGAGAGACTTGGCTCCCCTCCTTATCTCTTCACTTGAAAATTGCCGAGACACTGTCGCCACAAAGGGTTATATTTAGCAAAGGCCCAGCGTCTCCCAGTGCGTATGTGTCTCTGCCTGTGTCTGTGTCTGAGAGGGATCTGATATTTGCATCTTTCTCCAAAATATCATATAACTTTCAAAACTGGGAAAGGAAGAACCCCTTTTCCCCACCCCTTAGCATGTGATAGCGCAGCCTCCTACCTAAGGCATCATTAAAATACCATGTTGCAGGCCGCACACGAGGCCTCTGATATGCAGGCCCCTTTGGAGAGCCACAGTGGAAAAGTCAGTGCTTCCTGAAAAGGTCCCAGCCAGTGTCACCTCCCAGCCCAGTGAGATTCTAGTCGCCATCTGGGAAGCCCTTGTTGGTGCCTTATTCTTTTATTCTATTTACTGCACTCCAACTATGTGATAAACACTCTGGGAAGCTGATACTGCAGACTTGTGTTGTCGTGGAGCAAGGGCAGCAGGAGGCAAGCTCCTCAACAATTGCTACCCCTGGGAAGATGCTGGACACTCACTGAGATGCAGGAAACACTTGAGCAAAGCCAGAGCTGGGTTCCTCTTGGAATATCAGAGCAGCAGGCAGGGTAGAGCCGGGCAGAGCAGGGCAGGGCACTTGTCAAAGGCTGTGCACATTAGGCCTTTCTACTCAGGGGTAATTCAGGGATCACCAAAAGGTAAAGGGGACAGGAGAAGGAAACAGGGTGTGTAAGCAAAAAGCACCTTTGTCCCACTCCAAGGCAGATGGGTCCCTGTGGGCACACCCTCCCCCACCCTTGATGGCAGAGCTAAAGGATGCAAATGACTGTGGTGTGTACAACCCCAACAACAGAGGCTTTGTTCTCTAGAAACACTTACAAGAAGCTGTTAAACAGGGTTACTCTACAAAAAGGAGTGGACCCAGAGGAAAGCGGTTAGAAGCTTGTATCCTTTTACCATGCTTGGATTTTTTTATTCTCCTTCCTCTTTCTCTGCATAGGCGCTGGTATTTAAAGAAAAAAAAAATGGAAAGGTATTTTTAATTGATAAATTCTGGGAAGTATTCCATTGAAAAGATTTTATCCTTTGAGAAGCTAATTACAGAAGATGAATCATGACAGCAAGTTTAACAGATTAGATAGAGTGGAAGAAGCAATGATGTGTGTATGTTGAATACCTTAAATCTGCTTTCCCATACCCCTGGAGTGAGAGTGAGCTCAGGAAATCTGCTGAAGACCCTGGAGCTGCAGGAGCTGCTTCAAGGAAGGGCTCAGGACATTGCTTCCTGTCCCAGAGCAGTGATGTGGGGGATGTTTTTTCTTGTTCGTATGTTAATCCCAAACACTGAGAGTAAGACCACTACCACAGTTTGAGCCAAATTAGACTGCCTCCTAAGTAAGGATAAAGAGAACAGCCCCAAATCCATTTCTTGGGCCCATTTTAAGAAGTAAAATCATCAATAGTTTTACAGAAGAGAGACAATAGGGCAATAAGGACATACAAAACAAACTAAAAAAAAAACCCATCATGTGGTCACCATGTGATTACAGAGGGTCAGGGAGGGTCAGAGAGGGTCAGGGTATTTACAAAAACAAGAAAATAAGTCAAGGTCATGGGTTGGGGAAGGTCAGGCCCCAGGAAACAGAGCAACTCAACTCTCACAGTAAAAGAAACTTAGGTTTAACAATGCAGCCTTGTGGCTCCTGCCCTCCAGATGCAGCCAGGCAGGTTTCTCACTTGGAGGGTGTCCTTGCTCCAGGAACAGCATGTAGAAGCTTGCCCTCCCACCACTATATTAGAAATGCAGCACAAGAAAAACTCTATACTGATAGAAGTCAGCTCTTTACCTCCTTACTTCTCTAGACATTCCCTCTTAATATTAATTAGCCTTTAAGTTTTTACCAGTTTTGCCTATGTAGATAAGCTGTGTGCCAAAAATAATATATTGTATTCATGTTAATTTCTTATAGTTTTGCCTCTTTAAATACTGCCAAGATCAAAATTAAAGACAAAATACATCTGTTAAAAAAAAAGAAAAGAAACACAGTGAAAGCCTGGGCGTGTGGTCAGGGATAGAGCACGTGTTAGATCATCTGCAGAACAGAGAGAAAGGCAGAGAGAAAAGGAGAGAGCTATGTGGAAGGAGGGCAGGAGAAGGTGGGAGAAGAAGGGAGAGGAGGGAGACACCACTATTTAATTTGTTGAGAGCTCATTTTTATAGGAATGTAAGCTTAAACTTAGAGGAGAATTGAAAAAAAGCCATTTCAAAGCCATAGGGTCCTGGGAAATGACCCTAAAATCTATTCAATGGCCCTGAAACACACACACACACACACACACAGACACACACACA